TCTCGTAAGTTTCCGTTCGAATTTATATTTTGATACATATAAATATGTTTAATGATATGATTAACAAGCGATTTTTTCGATCGTAGAACTACTGCTGCTGCTACGGTTCGTTCTACAGTCCGTCGTCTCCGCGAAATAATGGAATCTTAAATTATACAATGTATAAAGCAAATCCGTCGAAATTTAGTATTTTCGGTAATGACATTATATAAATTATCGAGTATTAATGTGAAAATAAACCTATGAAGTACGCATTGACAAATCGATCTAATAATTAGAATCAACTAATTAATATGCGGTGGTATGAAACAATAATTTACAATTTATAGTTTTTATTCAAGTGAATATAATATATTACGATTGTTCAGGTACATTGTTTAAACATGATTTCAAAACGTTATTAAAAAGGGATTATATTATCAAATTAAAAACCATATCCAACAAATTAAATACGTTACTAAAGCAACTGATGCAACGCTTATAATCTCTCTTGCAACAGTCTTCCAAAATTGTGAATTAAATATTATCCAGCGACCTTTTTGTTGATATCTAAGCCATACTGGTAGCATTTCTGTACTTCTTCTAATTCTTACAAATGTATGTGAAAATATACAAGCTAATGTTGTTATAACCAGAATTCCATACCACAAATATATTCGAATTTGATTTGGTAGTAAACATTGTGTATATGCGAATGTGGTTTGATGATTTTTTATGCTATCTAATGATATATTATTATATGGGTTGTAAAGGCTTAATAGAAGAAACCCTGGTCTTTTAACACCCTGAAGGTGTAAAAAAAATAATAATTTAAAATAAATTCATATATTAAAATTATGACAAACACGACGACTTACCATAGCAAAGCTAAAACTATTCACCGAAATTTCTATAACTTCGGGTTCCCTTTCATGTCGAATTTCACAATAATCATGATCATCACCACTAAACACGAGTGTTGGTTTTATATGATCCAATATAAAATTTGATAATGACTCAGTTATTAAATTTTGATATTGGTAACCTGAGCCTTGGTTAATGTAATGTCCGTTTTGCCGCAATGGCCCACAGTCGGTATTTGGTGGGCGATATAAGGGGACATGTGTCATCAATATCCGGGGAAAATTATTCGAAGAATCTATTAATAAGTTCAACGAATTCAATTCACAATGACCTACATATCTTAATTACTACACATATCTTAATTATTTTCTTATACATACCACTTTCAAGCTTTTCAATTAGACTTATCGCTTCTTCTTTCCGAGGTTCATCTGATCCACTCAATGTTACAGTGTCGACAATAACTATCGAATGATTACCCAGCACAACATTATAATTTGTTTTACCAAATATTTTTCGAAATCGATCATATGCACTGGGAATTATATTATCACCGAATCCAATATCATGATTCCCTACCAAATAATAAATTGGTGTTCTTGTTGGTTTCTTTGGTAAAAATAGATGGCGATAACGGAAAAATTCATCTTCCCACCTATAATTAAAATAAAAATTATTCTACTTATGATACGTTAAATATTCCATATCCATTGAAAAAAAATGAACTTACTTATCATCATCCCATTCTCTTCCTCCATCCATTAGATCACCCAGAAATATTATTGCATCCGGATCGAAAATATTTTGTAAATTTATCCAATTTTTTCGCATATACATGTCAGGATACACTTCGGATATTTTTTGAAGTATACCCGTACGACCATATGAATAACTATCTATTATCTGTGGGTCGGCAATCAATGCAATTCTAAATGGATTGGCCAATGATGTATCCTGATATATATTATACAAACTAGGTTAAGAACTTTATTCAATGACTATGCAAAGCCTAAAAAAAAAAAACTTGAATAATATCAAAGTGAAATAAAATAAAACAGTCAAGATACCCAATGAGCATGATAAGGCCAGGAACATTTTCGCATGGCATAAGAGAATATAAAGATTTCGCCAACTAACAAAGCACTTATCCATATTACTCTAAAAGCACAAGTAGGTGACCGATTTTGAACTCGACGTGGAATCCGCTTTACAGGGCCTAAAAGTTTTTGGGTGATTTTTGAGATTAAATGGAATGGAAATCTACAAATTCTGGCAAGAATACTAGCACAAAAAGGGCTATTTGTTGAAGACTCAATGGGTGTTTGTTTAGGGGGAAGTTGCATAATAATAATATATACAAAGAAAAATGGTGGCGAAGCGAAATGGCTTTTATAACAAAAATATTTGAGTAACCCCCGTACGTGCGTACATACCCGATTAAGCAAAAAAACGCATTCAGGTCATGTGTCTCAAACATGATTGGTTGATATGCTTTTTGAGATACTGTATAATTTGAGTGGGAGAAATTCCGGAAAGTTCTGATGT